ATGGAAAAACTAATAGCGATGGCCTCAAACCTAATAGCAATTGCCTGCGACCTAGTAGCGATGGAAAAACCAATAGCGATGGCCTCCAATCCAATAGCGATGGCCTCCAACCTAATAGCAATGGCTTCCAACCCAATAGCGATGGCCTCCAACCTAATAGCGATGGCCTCCACCCTAGATGCGATTCCTTCTAAAGTCAGAACAAGAAAGAAAGGACATATTATTTTTGGCCAACTCTTACTTAATGAAGTAGGGCTAGCTTCTGCTACCTAGTGCACGAAGGATAGCTCACGCTTCTATCTATTTGGTTCCTAGAATTTTAGGGGCGGGAACAACGTATCGCGTCATGTTGTTGAGACTGTCTGGTGTAAATCTTGCAATTTGTGCCATTGAAGGCGATGGCAGCCGGAATGCTCAGTACCACTCCGGGAATCACACCCCCGCCAGGTAGGGACCTCAGAGAGCAAATGAGACGAAAGAAGCCATACAAAGCATTGCGCATGTTGTTTTCCTTTTTTCTTCCTTTTTTGAACATTGATTCTTTTCTTTCGGGTCAGACGCTTCACTTCTGAACACTGCGCACAAGACAACTTGGTCATGAGGCCTTGAAGTGACGCAAAACGACACTCCTTCGAAGGCAATTTGCACCGTTACAGATGAGAGGGTTGTAGTTATATTCATTGGGATGGGATTCGAACAAATGCGCGCTGACATTGGATATGTAATTGTGGGAGGTTCAGCCAACGTCTGCCCAAGAAGGATTGCTTGACATCGTGCAGGAGAAGCTGCTTGCCACGCCATCTCTTGCAAGCTACCTTATTCTACGGAGTCTATAGCAGAACATGAGGGACGCAAGTGCGCGCATGCACTGCTGGGTGTGAAACAGGGTTGCCGGCTATTAATTGCAGCGCCTCGAACGCGTCAGAATTCCGACCCCTGCGCTTGGAATGCTGCTAATTAAATCTAATTAATATAGGCAGCACTAGGCCAGAAGCTTCCAAAGCGACCAACCAGGAGGCTTGTTGGAGCATTCATCCATTGATGTAAATTGCCGTCCCGCCAACTCCGGCTCATTTGCTTCCACGAACTGGCACACTCCACCGTCGGCACTTTGCAGAATGCCAGCACTGGGCCATCACGTGTACCGTATGTAACGTATGCAATGTATGCGTGCGTGTTATCGCCCTAGAAGCAACACGCAATACCGGAATGTAATGAAACATGGAACGGGCGTGCAGATTTAGGTGTCAAACGACTACCCCGTTTCATCCTTTTGCACCAGGAGCGGAGGTGTATAGAGCTTTCTCCAACATTAGTGAATTGCGGTTTGTTCCCGTCATGTATCGACTAAGTTTCCAAAGTCCGTGAACAGACATGCAAATAGTTGCACATATAAATATATATATATACGATGCATAACAACATATTTTGCAAATATATATATATATATACAAAATACATTTATGAGACATATACGATATATATATATATATATGTAATTTACCCGCTGCCAATGCCATAGGACTTGCAGCAACAAGTGAATGTGTTGCAATATGAGCTGTCTGTGCCTGAGACACCCAATGGCACTCAGAAAAGCGACCAACTGTGTCCCAAAGTGAGAAGTGACACCTTCATTGATGGCAAGAGGTATGCACAACACACGCAGATGCTGAACCCAAGTACGCGGAGACTTGGCATGACTTGGCTAAGAATCCGCCTTGCTTTAGGGGGTTGGTCCCCGTGGTCACCTTTTGTTCTTGACATTCTCCAAGGCCGGGCATTGAGGACGTTTGGGCTGACATGGCAGTCTCTTGCCTTCAGACAGCGAAGCACCGGGTGAAGCCGGACCCTAGTAGCGATGGCCTCCACCCTAGTAGCGATGGCCTCCACCCTAGCAGCGATGGCCTCCACCCTAGTAGCGATGGTATATATATATATATGGAGTTGTAGGTGCTGTAGCCCTTGAATTGCTATCAGCACACAAAGTCTTGCAACATCGACACGCCGATGCCAGAAAGGCAAAGCGTAAGGTATGCTGACCCACGTAGTCAATGGGCCGCGAAGGATAAGGTGGGCCCAACACAAAGTCAGGCAAGACTGCCACAGAGCTGCCTGGCGGTGATCGGTGGAGAGACCACAGAACACCCGACCCGGATCACTTGCCGAAGCGAAGCCGCGGCCAAGACGGCAAAGCACCATGCAGGTCGGACAGACCTGCCGAAGTTCAAGTCAATGGAGAAGCCATCCACGAACAAAATGTCCATGGCGTGAAACGTACGCAAAGGCAGCGGGATCCTCACGATCCAACCAGTCCAGCTCCACGTAACAAAGTACGTGCGAATTCACGGTGAAAAGCCCAAAACTTCCAAAGAAGATCCCGTAGTCAAAGACCGAAAAGGAAAAAGACAAAGCAGCAGAAACCACGGACTCGTCAGCCCCACAAGGTCGCAACAAAACCATCTGGCACCATGCGCACGACCATAGCCAGGCGCCCTCATTAGTCACTCCCCCAGGAGTGTGGATCCTCTAAACTTCGCACCCTTCCTCGTCAAGAAGGGCCCAGGGCCACCACGTGGAGGTGGAGGATCCGCGCTGGCCCCACCCCAGTAGCGATGGCATCCACCCTAGTAGCGATGGCCTCCACCATAGCAGCGATGGCCTCCACCCTAGCACCGATGGCCTCCATCCTAGTAGCGATGGCCTCCACCCTAGCA